GTTTCCTCTTTGGCACCCACGTGCATGCGTTTGCATGTTTGCTTAGTTCCCAAGAAGTCAGTTGTTAAATCGTTGGTGGCGCTTTTGAGGTTTGCTTTTGCCCGCTCATTCCCCCCGCTACCAATCCACCATTTATGGCAATGTTAGTTCCTCTCTGATGCCCTGTACTCGTTTATTAGTCGGGGTACATTGAATTCGTGCAAATACGTTTTGCAGATTGAAGAAACGGAATTACCTATCGGTGCTGGATTGTCCTAAAGTTCAGATAAATCAAGAAAGGTCTGTGGTAGCCACATGCACTCTCAAGCATAGCGCCTCCCTCTCTTCCCCCACCAACGGGGGGTATCTTATGGTCTCATTTGTGCCCATCGCGCGGGTGGAACTGTGTTTGTGTGAGCGGTTTCGGAGTTTATTCCGCTGCACCGTGTGTGCGCTTTTTTCCGCTGGTTTTACCTTTACGTTTGCTCTAACAAATAGACTTTAAATATTTCGTGCACTAAATTTATGTATCTATGCCATGGCGTGGGCGTTCGCACATTCACAGTAATGTGGCTCGTGTACACGTGGTCCACGACAGATAAGATTTATGCCGAGCGGCGGTTAGGACTCTCAGGAATAATGCAAATATTTTGCACGTGAATTGTGTTGCTTTTGTTTAGAAAGTTTCCAAAATTATCCATTTCTGTGTCAAAGAAAGGGTCATTCATTCGTTATTTTTGGCACGTCTTTGTTGGATTGTGAGCGTGTGCCGTTATGGCTTTTCTATATCCTTCCCGCTTGCTTGATCTGTTTCCACAAACGATTCAAATGGAACCTAAAGGAATCCAATCCATCTGAAAGTTTATTCAAATCATATTATTTTTTTTGTAATGTTACTGCTAGTTACTTTCCCTCTTAACTCTTACTAATGTGATATATTTACTATGAATTTATTTTAAAAATTCCCTTGAAAACTACAAAATACAACTTAGGACAGGGCGATTTCCTTTAGTTTGATTCAACTTTCTGCATATTTCACAACAACAACAAATTCCCAACAAAAATGTGCATAAAACTTAAGCAATTTTAACTTCTTTAGCGAAGCGTGGCTCATTTTTTTTTTTTTTGTTGTTTGTTAGTTATATATGACTGGGAATTTATAACGAAAAGTTTTACATTTTGCAAATCATTTTTAACACCTGCGGCAGGGTTAAAGTTCAGAGAGCGGAAAAACTTTGCAAATTAGGAGCCCTGCAGTAGCTCTGCTCCAACTCTCTTTCATTCTCTCGTTCGTTTTCCCTCTCTGGCTACTATTCAGATATTTGTATTGTGCTTAACGCAGATTTCATTTAAAATGAGTTAAGCTGTTAATGGTGCATTGATGGAGAACGAAACAGGGTTGGTCGAAAAATTATTCCAGGCATGACTCGTAAATTTGTAAGCTGTCGTAGGAGCAGGAGCAGGAGCTGGAACTGTAGCCATAGCATTGGTTGTGGGTGAAGCAAGAGAGATGAGAGATAACTCTGCCGGACAATGCGTATCCCTGCGCCACACACACACACACATGCACATGTTTGGGGTCACCAGGCAAATCAGCTCAACGGCCACGATGCTGACCATAAGCAAACGGTGGAGATTTACGACCAACTAATCGACGCTGGCAATCCCATAAATCTAACAACAGTTCGAATGTCAAATGGCCAAAAGGCCAGCGAGGTGAGACCAATGCGAAACTGAAACCTAAGCTGAGATCTCTGCCAAAAAGGCAAATTAAAGTTCAGACCCAATAAATGTTAATCGGTGGCTCTTTGTCTTCTGCGCGCCGGGATGCTTCTCCTTTTTCCTCTTACTTGTGCTCCATTATGGCCTTTCTATCGATGTTTCTTTCTCTTTTTTACCCCACGATGACCATGACCCCATCGAAGGCATTGTTTATTAGTTTGCATTTTTTTGTCTATTTTCTTGGAAACTCTTATAAATATTTATTTATTTTTCAGGGACGGTACATCACTAGCAGCACAAATTGTAATATTTAGTAGATTTAGAAAAGTTTCAGCATTCGTGTGCGTAAATCTATAAAGTGGAAAAACTGTAATCCCTTTTCCTACAAATTCAAAACCACATCAATTGCTTTTTCTACTGTTGGTTCCAGAGATCTGTCCATCAGCACTTTCCATATGAATTTTCACAGTACAGTCATAAAACAGTTTTTATTCACCAACCCAAAACTGTCCCTTGGGTTTGCATGAGTAATTAACTTTTTTTTTCAGTCCAATCTAGAAAGCAGAAAAATACTTAATGTTCCCGTGTTTCCTGCGATACTTTTGTTGTTCAGGGCAGGTGCCAATGATGGCAAAATGTTGTTGAATTTATGGCCAATAAATTAAAAAACTTTTACACCGCTCAACAAAAGTCAACCGAGGGTGTGGGTGGAGTGTACAAGTGCGACGAGTATCTGTGTGTGGCGACCCCGCCTCTCACCAAACATTTTCCCAACATTAATTGAAAATTGTACACTCGAATAAGTGTTCCGCAGCATATCAAAGGCAATTACAGATGCCGTTAACAGCAGCCAAATGGCAGTCCAGCCCACAAGAAAATCTCAAAAGACATACATATCTGTGCTCATCTTATTATTAAGTTAATTATATGTTTGTGTGTCGGCAATTACAACTCAGATTTCATTGTTGGCCAAAAACCATTTTGCGGCCTAGTCGGTTGCCATCAAAAACGCTGCTGATGATGATAATGATGATGTCAATGAAGGGGCAGATACAACTTTGCAACATTGCCTTCGGCCCCACCGCAAAACTTCTAATTAATTTGAAAGGCAACATTGGAGACGCCTTGTTGTGTGGTTACTGCCACACACCCACTCACGTACGAGTTCGTCCATGAAAAGGGTCCTGCAATAGACACACGACATATGCAAACGCCCCAGAGTTGCCAAGTAACCTCATTAGAAGGCAAACCATTAAATGGACCATGGAAAAGCCTCCACTTTGCACTACATTTTACCAACAAAATAAACACGAAAACGAAACTGTTTATAAATTATGCAAAGCCAAAGCTAAATGTCATCCCTAGCCGGCCCCACTCTTGTGTCCTTCGTAAGTCGGTACAAAAAAAAAAAAGAGCATCCTCGAAATCTGTCAAAACTATCTTGGCCAGCTAAAAGTTTTGGCCCGTTTTTAAGCCAACTTTACTCTTAACACATTTAATTAAGTAGCGGAAAAAAGAATAAATTTTGTGGCCCGAAGAGCCGCACACAATGCATTAAAACTGAGCAGAAAGTGAATTTGTTGGCCATGCAACTTTTGTTTCGGCCAATCCATTTCCGTTTGGTTACATCATTTCAATGGCTAGCACTACCCCCGTCCAACCCAAAGCACAGCATCCACAGAAATGTTTGCAAATCAGCTTGTGATTTGCCAAAAGCCTCTGCGCATAGCTGAAAAAACAGAAAACAGAGGGGAAAAAATATTGAAAAGTTTCTTCTTCGCTTTTTGAGCTTGGCAAATTTGTTGAACAGTTTTGTTGCCAAAGTTTTTAATAAGCTTAATTTATACTGATTTTTTTATTTTTTTTTTTATTAAATTTTATTCTGTTTTTAGATATTTAAAAAAGAAAAAAAATCTGAATGATATGAGTGTGGAAAGAAGCATCTGTGGAACTCTTTTTTTTAGTACTCATATTAATCTTGTAACTACGTGTATAAGTAATAGATGTGTATGTATATTGTATATAAGTAGAAATTATATAATTATACTGAAGAAAAATTATTCGATCTGAACAAAATTTATCTCTTCAGCGTTTTCTGCTTTCTACTTTTCCACATTTAATTTTTGACTGCCGCTTCAGCAATAATTTCTGTACTCTTCAGCAAAATTTCAACCAGTTTGTTGTTGGTCAGTTGAGATGTTTCCACCAGTTTGTTGCTCAGTAGAAAAAACTCCTGGGAAAATATTACAGATTTAAGTCAACAATAAAACTGACATCTTACCTGCTGGCCAGCAACGAGCTTCATTATAATTATGCCCTGGGAAGCATGTCGAGCGAGAGTCCAGACATGACAGCCGCAAACTAAACCGAAATTCGTTGACACAGTTAACCACAAGGATGCAGAGGCACAGGTCACAGCAGCCAGAGGAGGGAGAATCAGCATAAGTAATTAACCGAGTGATAAAGAGCCTGGGGCGCCGTGGCAGTACGAGTATCATTCAAGGCGACGACATCGTCTCGTCATTAGCGGCCAAAAATGCTGCATTTAGTTGTACGCTTGATGAATATGGTTAATTTCGTTTGTACATATATTCTAAGAAATCCGAATATATATACGTATGTATGTGTTTGTCCCACGGCGACGATGACAGGACCTGACCGGGACACATTTTTCGTTTGTCCTCTAATTGCATATCTGAGGAGGCTGATGATGATGAGGCAGGCAGGCAATACAATTAACAAAATCTCCAGCTGTGTCTGTGATTGTGAGTGGGGCTCTGTTTTGATGTCCTAGCCAGAGAATTATTTGGACAGTCACTGGCATACGTATAGAATGCCAAGTCTCAGTGCCTAATTAAAAGCAACAGCAACTGGCCTTTTAATTTATGCCTGTTCAGGGACAAGCCCCTAAGAAAAGAAAGAAGTCCCCCCCTAACAGCATACTCACATTTGGCTTTTCTTTTCAGCATTTACATGTTTCTCTGTACTGAAAAGTTTTCAGCATAAATCGTGGCCAAAGCTCGTAATTCGCATCTGTGGCAGAGGTGGAACTGGAGTTAAAGCTTAGGGGAGACAGCCCGAAAGCACTAAACATACATTTATGTATATTTATGTATGTATGTATGTACATACATATACTGCTTGGCATTGCAGAAACAAAAAGTACAATTTTAAAACCGTAGATGGTTCATTGCCAAAGGGCTTATGTTTGTCTATAGGTAAATAAATGTTTAAATAAATTGATTAAATCCCAACAGGCCTAGCAAAACTATTTGTCTTTTCAATCAAATTCAGTCAGTATTTCCAGCTCCATCAGCCAGGACTGTTCAAAGTTTCTAGAAAATCCAAAAAAAAAAAATAATAAAAACAAATTCTTTGTATTTTGTAATAATATTTTTGAGAGCTAAATTTTAAGTACAGCAAAATGGCAGATCCAGATGCTCGGGATGCGGAAACCGTACCGCCACCAATTGGCGGGGAAAACAATCTTAACATGAACAATGAGCGTTTGGATTGCGAGAACCTTGGTAAGGGGGGACGATCTGAGAATTCTCTCAGTAGAAATCATACAGAGATATTCTTCTTTTAAATAGATGAAATGACTGAGAGATTGATTAATCCGGATAGGCCAGCATTTCCATCAGTACTCCTTCGCTTCTTTGGCAATATATTTGGTAAGTGTGCGAGAACTAGCCCTAATATTCTCTGAGGCATAATATTTAATTATTCGATTTTCTGTTCAACAAAAAGTTGATTGCTTTAGGGCCATTTTTGCCTAAAGGATTTGTTCCGAGAAGAAAACATGGATCATGCTGTGACACAAAACTTTGGCAGATTAAATTTTATAGCTAATAAAGCTCTTTATATAAAATTTGTATAATTGCTTTGCTATTTTTTTTTTGGGGCATCATTTAGCGACAAACGATCTTGTCCAGAGCTGGTGGCTTGCAATGGCAGGAAACGCTTTCGATCTCTTCGACAAGGTCGGATATCTCGTGGAGGAACTTCTCCAGATTCTGGGGATTCTGGAAGATATTATTGTCGACGGATAGCCGCCTGCCGCCCAGTATCTTCCAGCGACGCATGCTAGCAATGACATCGCCACAAAAGTCCCGCTTATTCTTTTCAAGAAGCTTCAATTTCTCCTTCAAGACCTTGAGACGTTTCTCTGCAATCGCAAAAAAGAGAATGCTCATACAATTTAGAAATTAATTAGTGATACCGTGTTTCAACTCACTTCCGGCTATGCTCTGGTGGAACTTTTGAACGTGAGCATCCCTTTGGGCCTTGTCGTACATCTCAATGATCTTGTACATTCGTCGGTCCATGTCTTTGGACATGCGCAGCGCCCCCTCACATTGGGGCGCACAAACAATCTGGAAGTTGGGACCAGTAAACGGAACTTCTGTCCGGTGTTTGCTCTTTTTAAAGTGATCCCGCTCCACATGGGCATCAGCGCTCCGTTTGGCCATGTACGCCCGCACGCGACCGTTGTGGAAACGAAAGTTGAGACTCGCCAGCAGCTTCTCCACGCGCGACAAGCATCTGCGGACGGATACAGAGTTTCGGAAGGGATCTATTAATGTACATCTACACTCACGTTGTATCCTTCAGCGAGTAGACGCCGGGTATCGAGTAGGTGCGAAGCAAATGGTGCAGCTTGAAGGCCACACAGTTGAGAAGGTCCTCGGCCGCACAGACCTGCATCTGGCGCAGGCTGTACATATCGTGGACCGTGTGACGAATCCACCAGCCACGGAACAACGCCTGAATCTTGGTGGCCGCTTGGTTGTAGCGCATCTCGATCCGCTTCTGCAGCATCTTCTCTACGGTCTTGAAAAAGTTCTTTCGCACCGAGAAGCCACGCCACCAGCGCTGTATGGTAGTGGCCGCTTTGTTACGCTTTTTCAGTGTCTCGCGGCAGAGGCAGCCTCGCCAGTGGCGCTGGATGGTCCGTGCAGACTTGAAATGTATGTAGTCCAGTAGCAGCATCGAGGTCCTGCGGGGAGTCCCAAGGCACTGTGGCCATGCTCTATGACATATGCAAGACTTTCCTTACCTCGTCAGCTTTGCCGGTATTTTTGTGCTTGACGAAACACCCTCCTCTCCCTCGGTATCCATGAAGACATCTTCATCGTTCCTTGAATAGAAAAGCTTATAGTTGATACAAATGACTGATCGACTTGGATTGGACTTGTGCTTACGAGCTCTCCGTGCCAGGCATCCCTGCCGTCTGTCTTCGCGTGCCGAGAGCCACTCGACTGCTGTCCCAGAACATATTCTTAAGTGTTTCAGTTGCTCCCTAATGCGTGTCTTTTGGGTGAATAAGAGTACCTATATATCTTTGTATACTGTTTCCATGAGTAGTTATTTGTATGACTGAATTTAGTGTTGATTGTCTCTGACAGGGTTTTGTAGCAATTGACAGAAATGACAATGGGAAAGCGATTCGGGCGATTCCTTTTCCTGGCGATTGGCCATAATTTATGGACACACGATTATTTCCATATATATCTTGGCCAGCATTGTGTGTTGGCTCCATTTAGGGGACATAATTTACTGTCGCCAGCGACTTTTCTCTGTATCAACATGTTTTCACGCTTATCGCGTCGGAGCAACACAAATTTACGAGGCAAATGTGTCTCTGCCTCTCTCCTTCTGGATGTGTGCATCCTGTTTGCCAGATATTCTTGGCGATCCAATAAATATCCCCCTAGTCGAACAATTTTAGTTCCAGCAAAGCTGCATTTAATTGAATTGTATGCGAGGCTCTACAGCGGAGCCAAATCAATATGATCCATATTTGCAGGCACATTTCAATGGCTCATGGGAGATGCCCTTGACTTGACTGCATCATTTTCGGCCCTAATTGTGTTCTAATGCTGACAAATGGGGGAAAAGGCAACCGAAATGAAAATAGGAAGCAATGTCGAAGGGTTGTGGTTGCTGTGGCAGTGGCCCGAGGTCAAGTTGCCATAAATTCTCCAACATTTTGCTGGCAAACCGAAAATGCCATTAGGAGGTGGTCCGAGAGCTGCTTTAAATGAAAATCAATATAACCTACATAATGGCGGGACATTTTCTGTTTGGCACGAGGCAGGCATTGGCATTCCCTGCTCATTATGTGCCACAAATGAACCGCACACACACACACACCCCAAGTACACACACACAGAGAGATTCTGAACACAGATGGGCTGCCGCACACAAACAAAACCGGGCGGAAATGAAACGGAAATTCTCATTTATGGCGCCCTTGACGCCATTTCCAGTTTCCCACTATCTATCTATTGGCCCTGACAAGTTGGCACTGCTTGCTGATTTCTGATTCAGATTGGGATTCCGCTCCTGATTGCAGTAGTACGAGCGACTGCGGTTGCCATGAGATTTATGGTCTACCCCTTCATGATGATGTTTGCTGACCCAGTAACTGATATCCAAGGATGTACCCCTACCCTACCCCCATTTGGGTTGGCTCTCCGCAAAGTTACTTGTGCAGTGGGGAGCGGAGCACACAGAGCATCTAATTGCAATGACATTGCCCCACACGCTGAGGCCCATTTTCGCCCATCGATTAGGCCATAACTTTGCAGACACTCGACCCCGCATGTAGGTTGTCCTGTGGTTAGGGTCCTTAAAGGTTTTGCTGTAAATTAGATTTTCCACCTGACCGAAATCGAGGGCATGCCACGGGTACAACTTGTTGTTTGATCCCTAATTCAATCCGCAAGCAGCATAGAAACGGATTCCATTCCTCGCCTCGCTGCGGTTTAATTGTGGACCAGTGGGTGGACCGAGATGTCTAGACGAAACGGAACGAAAGGGGAGCCTACGTCAGCTCTTTATTTTGGGGGACGGTAGCCTTGTATACGCTTGTGTAAATATTGAAAGGTTCCCCCCAGAGTTTATGACACATGAGGAGAAGGGTTAGCGGCTACGACCGTTCCCAAATCAAATTGGAAAAGTACTAGCCCGTAACGAAGCAATGTCCATATATCAACTAGGGCCAGAACCCAAACTCATCCACGATAGCCCATTCCGCCACGAGTTTACGATCCAGTACCCCAAAAATGCAAACCATAAAATTGAGCTGCCTGTCAGGAGCTTGTTGCAGAGGACAATGCCAGGTGGAGGTAAATTTCGGTAGACCCCCAGATGAGCAAACTTAAACCAAAGCCCTTACATCATTTACTTTCCAGCATATTTCCAATCTTAAACACAAACTCTGCTAATAAATAAACGAGAGAAACAGAGTTTTAATTGAATACAAAACTGGGAAATGCGGGTCTTCATGGAGAAATATATAAAAAAAAATTCACAAGAATTCGTAACTATGGCAGACCAAAGCCCCCCGTTTGACTGCCGGTACAAAATATTTCCAATGCCCCATACAGGGCTTATGTATGTATATACTGGCAGCAGCAGTGAATGGTACACAAAGACCCCCATTGTTATATATTATGTATTTTTTTTTGGTATTTCAAGCAGTTAATGTAAATTCAATAATATGTAGCGAATAAAGTGTCTTCTCTGTGCTTCGCTTCTTCCTTCCAAGTCTCAATTGCAGTTGGCCAACTTTTCCGCCTTCACTCTTTTTATATGGCTGCAGGACCCTGGGGTTGAGTAAACAGGAGTTTGGTAGCCAAACTTTCTGTATGAGTTTCGTTCTGTTCTCACTCTCCCTGATACAAATTTATGACCGACCAAAGTGTAATCAACAACATGAACCAGCGAAAGAAGAACCGCTGAACGAAAGAAACAAAACCTTTGGGGTGGATTTGTTAGCTTGGCTGGCAATATTCCTGGCAGCATGTGTAACAGGTCCAGTGAGAACAGCGAGCAAAAAAAGCGAACTACACGTAAGAACTTTTGACTGCCATAAAGCAGCAGCGAGAAGGGATAACAGGTGGCTAAATGGAGGGGGACTAACGAAGTTCGAATGCTCTACAGAGATTTGGACCCAGTGAAGGGTACTTCATAGCTTTGAAGAGTTGATTGTTCCCTCAAGGAATCATTTCTGGTTAAATTACATTGATCACAAATTAAGCTGCAATCGCTTTATCTGAACTACGAGGTATTGACCGTTACACAGAATGCGATTGTCGCAAATATTATAAAGGATGATTCTATACCATACTCCTGAACGGAGCAGGAATATCTGATTGATATCCAGATCTGAATATTAACGAAAAATATACCATTTCGCGTGCATAATTTGATCTCGAAAATGGAACACAAAATACTTTTTCACTGTAAATTATTTGCCGTGAAACTATGGAAGTTGAATCTAGGGAAACTTTAAAAATATTTAACTTTAATAATAAATATTTGCAATTTCATTAGGAATTGCTAACCAAATTGTTAACCAAGCCGTGAACCTGCTTCGGAAAATACTTGTAAACTTTAAAGTGTCATCCCTGATGATGATGATGCCCCACCGCAAGCAGCTGTGGACAATTTCCTGCTCCATCTCTCTCTCTCTGTCACTCTCTCTCTCTCTCTCTCTCTTTGTCTCCAAGTATATGTAAAATTTGCCCAGATGCTGAGAATTGCAACTAATTCCATGAAGAAGCAGCAGAAGGAAGATGAAGACGAAGACAGGGCCCAGAGCCCACCCAGCCAAATCAGTTGCGCTCTAAACTTTTGCAGAACTTGCCACACATACACAGAGATCTCTCATTTGGAAAACTTTAAAATTAGTTAAGTTGGAGCCCAGATATCCAATAATGCAGCCCCGAAAATGTGAACAAACAAATTTATCTTGCTAGGAGGAGAGACCTGACCCTCTCTGTGCTTACATTTGAATGGATTGGTTGGGCTTGGTCTGAGTTTGGGTTGGGATTTGGGTTTCAGTACGGTTTGGTCATGGTTTTGGTGCGGGGGGGCATACGGCACACTCTGTATATTTGCATCAACTTTTGCCTACTGGGGTGCGCTTTGATGTGGCCTCAGATTTGCGGCAGACTTGTACTCGCATGTGTGGAGACTTTGCAGCAACAAACTTGATCAGAAACTTTCAATCAAATTAGCCCCGATGCATTCGCACGCACATGCATGCTATGCCCCAAGAAATGGGATGAGAAAATCCTGTTAAAGTTTTCATCTGGGTAATGGATGTTAATTATTTTTAGTTGGTCTAATGAGGAAGCCCGGAGATACTCTTGGCCCCATTGTCTCCTTAAGCTGCTGTGCGGTAAAGTGAAAGTACGGTAGGAGCGGAGCGGAGCTGTGCGTTGCAGCTGAGAAAGAAGTTAAAAGGACAATTTACCGTCTCCTTGGGCTTCTCATTCGCCTTCTGCTTGTGCTTCCACTTCTGATGTTAATGTTGTTGCTGTTGCTGTTGCTGCCTCTGCACTTTGCCTTGGGAATGCATGAAAGGGAAAAGCACAAAAACATTTCACGTTTCCAAACTTTGTTGGTTTTTCCTAGTTTTCTTTTCTTGCTTTCCCTTGCTTCTCCTGTGGGTTTTGGGGCTTAAGCCATGGCAAAGTACTGCACTGCCAACAAATTTAAGGGTTGAAATTGGGGGCTTGCTGGTGGCATGGTTTCAACTTGAAGCAAAACACTTAAGTTTTAACCCAAATTGTTGCCAACAAAGCGGTTTGTCTAACATTCTTTTTGAGAATATTTTTTTTTTCTGAAAAAACCTTTTCAACACACACAAACAAACGAACATATGACTGTATTATTATATGTATATGGATGGATGGATGGATGGATGGATGTGTGTATAAAGAAAGCTGTGAACATCTAAAGAGTAAACAAGGCATCTAGAGGGCTAAGGGACAGAGCCTTGGATCTCTGCCCCAAAGCTAAATAACAATAAACGTTAGGGGAGACCAGAGCCAGTGGCGTTTGCTGCTTAAAAGCAGTAGATATCGAGGCAGAAAATAGTTCTTAGATGGGATTTAGGCGCTACTTCAGCTAAGCAGGGTAAATATGTAGGCTAAGAGGGAGCATGGTAAAGGAATATCAATAAGAAGGGCAGTCCTTGGGCATTGTTAATCTGTAAATATATTTATGCCTGCAGCTCAGATACATTCGAAAAATAAAAGTGAAAAACTATGCTTTAAAAGCTAGACAATCGCTTGGATGGGCGACATATGTATAAAAATGGCCACTCACATGTTGGACCAACTAATATTGGCCACTCATCACGCCCCGTCCTGTCCCCTCCCCTCCCCGCCATTGCAGTGCCCACGGCAGCTACTGGCTGTGTGTTAGCCATGTCTGGTCTGCCTGCCAGCGACATGTTGACCTTAAAAAACTTGACGTGTTCAAATGTTGCAAAACAACTCGAGGGCTTTCGACTTGAGCACTTTTTCTGTTCACTGTTCGCCGTTCGCCGTTCGCTGTTCGGTTCGCTTTTGATGAGGAGGCTGGGTATATCGTGGGTATGCTCCTCTCTTTTCCACTTT